CTAGCAGGTATCTCTGTCCAATATGAGGGCAGGTATCTCTGTCCACCAAATTATTTAAAATTTTAGAATAGTAAGTAAAATGTATCTTGAAAACACAAAGTCAATTTTGGTTATATACAATTGCCAACAAAGTAGTAACAAAGCATGTTATATGAAAAAGTAACAACGTATGTGATACTTAATTGAGGGTTGCCACTATAATTTCAAAAATTTTTTCTTTGAGTAAATAGCGTTTTTCCTTGAGTTCAGCTTTTTAAATTTCCTAACTTGTTTATTGTTTTTATTTGACAAACTAAAACTTTTGCAACAACGGCTACGTTGATTGAATATGTCATTGTTAGAATATTAGTATATTTGTTATTAGTATTGACAAGCTATGATTACAAAAAATATTATTGTTCAAAAATTTAAACAAAAACAAAAATACTTTCCCTGAATTTTATAAAGATTTAAAAAATCCCTGAGTTTTCTAGGTTTTCCCTGGTATTCATGCAATTTTCACGTATTCCTGGTTTTCCAGGTTGATTAGCAACCCTGTAAATGTATTACACAATTACCAGTACAACAGATAAATAATATGCATTAGTTAACATTATTGCATGTGTGTGTGTGAAAACAACTTTACTTAAACAAGCTTTCCTACTGACTGATACAGTGTTATAAACTGATTAAACTAAGCCAACAACTGGTCAAACTTGTTTTTTAAATCTAATATACGCTATTACTAAAATTTTCAAATACAGTAAACTCCCGATAACTTTACCTTCAAATACAATTATACTCCCAATAATAAAGTTATTGGGAGTACAATTCATATATAAGGGTTAAACGGGGATTCAAAATTAGCTTGATTTACTGGAAGTAAATCAAGCTAATAACATTACTCGAAGTTCTCAAGGGTTCGAAATGTTGGGAGTTTACTGTACTTTTTATTATTGTTAAAAAAATATTAAAATGTTCAATGAAACAACAAAGCAACAAAGAATAAAGTTAAATATTTGTAACATTACATACCAGCTGCAAATATAAACTTTTGTCTTCTAATTCAGTTTCCAACTTCACTAAATCTTCAACATTATCAATAGTAACAATGACTAACTTATTAACAATATTTTCTCCTGTATATTGTATTCCTGAGAACTTTTCCATCAGAACTTTTTGATTTTGCTTCACCTCCATTAGTTCTTTTGTTATATTTTTTAGAATTTTCATGACATTTTTCTGGAAAACTATAAATACAACACTTATAAGTAACAAAAGTTGTTTAAAGTTTAATATTTATCAAGAATATACAAAATAATATTTACTTACTTGTAAGTAAATAATAAATAATAAGTTGTATTTTATTAAATATAGGCGAATAAAAACTAGTGTCAATAAAATAACATTATATAAGCTTTCTGTTTGTTTTCAACTTTTATTTGTTTTTATAACTTCTATATTTACTTGAGTTTCTTTAATTGTTATTTTTATTTATTTATTTTGTATTTTTAGGTGTCACTCTATTAACTAGTTTGTAACTATTTGAGTGAGACCTAACCTATTAATGAAAAGTTGTATGTGTATATCTTTAATGTGCTTGAATAAAAAAAAATTTAATAGTTGTTTTCTAAATATCTTAACAATAAAAGTTTAAAGAAAACATTATAGATAACAAACAAAACTTCTTGTGATAAAGCAGATGTATTATCAGCGTCATAACTAATCACAGATTTACTACTGAAATCTGTAATAACAAACTTAATTCATTCATATATATAAGGATACCATGAAAAAGTTATATCAAACATATATAAAGAATAAATTTGTACCATAGCTTGTAAAATGCTGCTGGGAACTGGATTTAAATGACGATACTTGAGGCTGACATTCTGGTTCAATCTCAAAATCAACTTTATGCTTTTTTTTTTGTCATCAAAGTCCGGTTGGAAGGCACTTTAAGTAAAAATGAAATTCAAATTAATATTAGAAAAAATGAAAACATTCTACACCTTTAAAATACATAACTGATATACTTTTTTATAAATAGATATTATTTGTTATAAATACTAAGCATAAGAAACAATACACACAGATCCTTCTAAACTTGTGTTCATTGTTTCTAAGTGCGTTATTTGTTATATTACCTATCATTTGTTTATATTATTGCAGAAAGTTTAGGTTACAAATCAAATGACACACAAAAAAAAAACGCATGTAAAAGTAGTGAAAACAAACAAATACATAAATAAATTATATCAAATTAAAAACATTTTTGTAGTGACGACGGAAGTAATGGGAAATTGTCAATTGTGGTCTCTGCCTCCTCATCACTGCTGCAAGCAAATTTTTTTTTTAGATAGATTAGGAGCAACGTCGTTATCTAAAATAAAAAATAGATAAAACTAATTTGTTCAATTATAGAAAAACACATTTTACAGATATAATTTAAATATTTTTTACCAAAATCATCATCGCTCATGAAATATGGTAATGTAAAGCGATTATTTCGCTTCAACAAATTTTCATCTTCTGTATCTTCATTTGTATCATTAACTGAGGGAACCATTTCACATTCAGAAAAGCTGCCTAAAATTAATAAAATTATAATAAAATAAAATATAAATAACTATTGCATTTATAAATATTGTATTAAATAAACATACTTCCACTTCCATATTTTTATAACAAAATAAACCTAGCCCAATCTTTTTTTGGCATCTGCCTGCTTAAAAATAATCGCTTTACATTCACAACTTTAGGCCAACAGACCCATAAACTGTCATTACTTTTCTCTACCCAATTTGATGGGATTGTACCATATTCAATTAAATGTGGAGGTTCAAGCCATTTTGCTTTAATAAACATTTTTGTAAAAACTTGGAAAAGAAACATTTCAAAAGTAAACATAATGTCATAATGTATAAATAATTATTTGTAAATGCAATAATAACAAATTAAAAATAATGATTATATTGATATATATATATATATATATATATATATATATATATATATATATATATATATATATATATATATATATATATATATATACATATATACATATATATATATATATATATATATATATATATATATATATATATATATATATATATATGTATATATATATATATACATATATATATATATATACATATATATATATATATATATATATATATATATATATATATATATATATATATATATATATATATATATATATATATATATATATATACACACAAACAGTACAAACAACAGTTTACTGATAAAAAATATTATAACTGTTTAGTAAATATAATAATTATATACTTAAATTCATAATAAAAAGAAAAATTAAACTAAAAAGTGTATTAGCCAGTGGTGGATCTAGTTTATTGTCCTAGGTAGGGAAATAAGGGGGAATGGTAGTCCGACCAAAAATAAAAAAAGAAAAAGGTTCGCATTTTTTTAGCTAAAACCACTATTCCATTCGATCGTTTACAAAGTTTTTGTGATAATAATAAATAAAAAAATTATTTAAACAACTTTTTTTTGCAGAAAAATCTGATTTTGAAGCATAATTTTTTATACTTTTATATATATTTTTTTATTTTTATCAATAATATATAGAAATTTGAAAGTTCTTAGATGGAGTAATGGAGGTTTGTATCCGCCACTGGTAACAGTATATCAATGAAAATATCACTTTGATTTTGTATACTAAAACTATAAAAATTAAAAAGGAAACTAAAAAATAAATATAATAGTAACAGATTTATCATGTATTTGACTAATATATATTATATAATTTTTCATAGTTTTTGTTCAGATTCTTTTTTTAATTTTTTACAAAACTTTAATTTTTTTTAAGATCAATAGAATATATATATATATTTTTTAACTAATAGAACATATATATATATATATATATATATATATATATATATATATATATATATATATATATATATATATATATATATATATATATATATATATATATATATACTCATACATTAATAAAGTTAAATGAGAACAAATAATTGTTCAAAAAAGTAGCTTCGTAAAATCATCATTAAGGTCACAATGAAGTAGAGTTATAGTTACATAGCCACCTTTATCACAAGGCATCATGATGTCTTTGTTTAACAACGCATTTCGTTCAAGTTGAATTTCTTTGCAATTTGATAGTGTGGTTAAGTGGTATATATGAATGACCGAACTTTGTAATGGACTATCAAAAAAAATAGCTAGTTTTGAAAATTTGAACAATTTACAATAATACATGTTCTGCACAACTCTTTCTACTACAACAAAGCCTATTTTGCTCAAATAAAAAACTCTATTTCTAAAATTTGTATTAAAGATTACTGATTTTTTTGTTGGTAATTGATGTATTATTTTACTATGTTCATCAAGCCTTTTAACAACTTGAGCAACAGTATATGTACCACTATGAATTTTTTTTAAATTTTTCCGAGGTAATTTTCAAAAGGAAATGCTGATATTTCATTTAAGGAAACTTGGTGGTTTATTACATCATCAGCTAAATGAATTATACTATGCACGTTATATGATGAAAACAATGGTCCGTAAAAAACAATTGATTTTTTTGGAAACCATTCTAATAATTCCTTAGAATAATAAACCATTGAGTTATCTTTAACCATTGTCTCAGATAAAAGAATGTGTATTGCAACTGATAAACCCAATAAAAGTTTATACTCATCAGGCAATATTTTGTCTTTCATAACGAAAATTCCTGCATATAACAAAAAAAATCGAACTTCAGTTGCTTTAAAATCAGTAAACTCATTTAAACTTCTTGGCCAACCTTTAAAATCTGATGGTGTGCATTTTCGTATTTCAAGCAGTTCTGATGAAATTTTGCTGTGTGCAGAAGAACCTATATTGCTAATATAATTTTTCATAAGCTTTTTTGTAATACCTAAACAAACTAAATCCATGTAGTCGAGAACAAATCCTGCCACCATTGGAATTTCAATTTCGGATAATGGTGATTTGCCAATCTAGTGTTTTAAATAAAAATTTTCTTCTAATTTTTTATCATCTCGTAATAAAGATTTAGTGCCTAATAACCTTATGTCTTTATTATATTGACCATGTTCTTGGCATCTTTCACAGCTGTCATATCCACTATGTCCTTTAATACATTTTAAAAATGCTCTGGCTGATGCATCACATACAAATGCCTTAACCATCACCTTTAAGCCCACATACCCATTTATAAAAAAAAAATTTATTTCCGCTACAAATTTTTCAAGATATTCTCTAAGAATTGTAGGTTTTCCTTTGCCATACCATAAAGCAATTGTATATGGACCTTGTTGGTTTACAGTACACAATATAGGCCACATTTGTTTTTTTTTACTATTGTATATTCGAGTGCCACCAACATTTACAATAAGATTAAACTCTGTTGGCTCTCTGAAGCATTTTACATAATTGCTAAGTGCACTTTTTAAAGTAACATAAACAAAATCACCTCCAGCAACATTTTCAACATCCACACTTCTTAAAGTGTGTTTTAAAGATGTTCCACTTTTAGAAATGTCTTTCATGAAAGAGTTTAAATGTTCCAAAAACTCATTCAACGGTTTAGACCTTATATCATTTTCAACTGCCCATTTATGGAGAAATTATGGAGTTTTTACAGATTGAGAAACCGCATTTTCTGCTGTATCAACGTTTTCATTATATTCATCTTCGTCTTCTTTACTTTCTTCTTCTTTGTCGTCTTCTTTACCTTCCTCTTCTTTACCCTCCTCTTCTTTACCCTCCTCTTCTTTACCCTCCTCTTCTTTACCCTCCTCTTCTTCACCCTCCTCTTCTTTACCCTCCTCTTCTTTACCTTCCTCTTCTTTACTCTCTTCTTCTTTACCTTTTTTTTCTTCACCTTCTTCTTCTTTACCTTCTTCTTTAAATATTTTTTTAAAACTTCTATAACCTCTCATGTAACTTTTCATATAGTGCTTACACTTGTTATCTGCCATATTTGATTAAGACGAATTAGTACAAACTTCCTGTTATGATAACACGAAACAGTCACTACTAAATAAGCATTGAATCACCACTTACATAAATTCTAGAGTTGATGTAAATGGTAATTCAATGCGTATTTAGTAGTGACTGATAAACACATCGGAAAATTTGACTTTTACGTATAAATGAGTAAATGTATTAGTAGTGATCGAGTGGCGATTGAGTGGCGATCACTAATGATCACCACTCAATCACTGCTGATCAGTACTAAATCACAAGTGATGCGCGCATAGGGTATATATATATATATATATATATATATATATATATATATATATATATATATAATATATATATATATATATATATATATATATATATATATATATATATATATATATATATATATATATATATATGTTACATGTTGCTCTACACTTGAAGGATCTTCTAAACAGTTATTTGCAACCTGCAACTTCACAAATCAGAATATGAAAAATTAAAATATTTTGTGAAAAAAATACTTGAATATTACCTTTCATTGAATACTAACTTAAAAGTAAATAGCTATTAAATTTATAAATTGCAATAAAGAGCCATTCAAACGGTAAAAGGTTCATCTGTACACTTTTATCCAAGATCATCTGTATTTTTCTTTTACTCTACATATACTCTATATTTTTCTTACTCTACATATATAGAGTATAAAAATACAGATGATCTTGGATAAAAGTGTACAGATGAACCTTTTACCGTTTGAATGGCTCTTTATTGCAATATATAAATTTAATAGCTATTTACTTTTAAGGTAGTACTCAATGAATGGTAATATATGTACAAGAAAAATGTAAAAATAAGTGTATACTCAACATAATTTGTTTTAGCAGTTACAATATTTCATACATGAAAATAGTTTATAGATTTTGCCAAAAAAAAAAAAAAATTAGTTTCTTAATAAAGTTTTTAAAAATAGTGTATTTAGTGATTTAAATAAAAAAAGAGAGAAAGTATAGAAGATATTACTTGAAAAAAAGTATAATAATCTAAAAAAGAGTACGTCTGGTCACCCTAAGATATGTAATATATAGTCAACGATAGTGCAAATCCGCGTAACTAGCATTGGATAATACCGCGTATCTCAAATGTAGCCAATTTGGATTTCGTGACAAATGTAGCCAATTTGGATTTCGTGGGCAATGCGCGAAGGATTCTAATTAGCAGCCACCAATATCGAGGTTACTTTCATTTGACCTATAGAATGCAGGTTATTGCCCAAGAACAATACTGCGTATTTGAGACCAGTAAATGTCAGTACCGCGTATGTGATCGGTTATCATCTGGAGCGTAACTGACATGTTGTTGCGTGTTGTCAAATTTGGTTTATAAATGAAAATAATCAACACCATATCAGTTAAGTTTTAGTTTTATTATCTATAAAAAAATGTTATAAAGAAAAAACATTTTTTTTTGTTCATTAACTATTTTTTTAAAACTCGTTTTACAAACAAAAATTACGTGTTTTTAAAAAAAGTTGCCTCATTAAGTTTAATCGTTTTTAAAAAAAAACAACAATGCGCAATCATGTTTTTATGAAGAGAAAAGTGTTTGTTAACATCTTGGTCGATTACTACTTTTTTTAAAATTATTTTTACTATTTATATAATTACATGACTATACCTTTTGTATAGGATTAGTTTTCCTACTTCTAAATTCAATATGATGGGAGTCTACTAGTTGTGTTAATATTGGCATTGTAAATAACTTTAAATAAAATTGGCATTTTAATTAACTTTAAATGAAATCGGTATTTAAAAAAATTTTCAGTTTAAATTTCATCTTAACCGTGCTAATGTCATTAGCACGGTTTACCTTACAAAATTTAGTCATTAGTAATGACTGCATATTGTAAGGTAAACATTTTGTACGTTAGTTTATATAAATGCAATATTTATTTTAAAATATTACCAAATTATATAAATCATTATGAATATATATATTTTTTTATATAGCTTATGCATTTGGATTTTTTTAGATTGATAGATAAAGAGTAAAATAGCAAATAACAGCAAACTTCTCAAAAAGATAAAACACATCAATTTATGACATTGAAAGCTTTAAAAAAAATGACTGATAATTTACCATATTTTACTTCACCAAGTGAATTACCAACTTTTGACTTTTCAGTAGATGATTTTGTTGCTGATCCAAATAAAAATCTAATCTCTGAAATAACAAATGTTGAACAGATAGCTTTCACTTAATCAATAGACAGCAATAACAATTTTTTTCATGAAAGAAATTTGGAACCTGAAGTAGCAGTTATATCTAGGGAAAGAAAACAAAAAGCAGAACAAATGTCATCAAAAAGATTTAGGAATAGAAATTTGAGAATGCTAGGTCATGAAGAAACAGGTTTTTGAAAGACTTGTGGGGAAAAATATTTACAAGACACTGTAAGACCTGCGCGAAAAATTGGAGAGGCTTGTAAGTCAAACAAATGCTTACAAAGTAATGTGATTAACTGCAAAAAGTTTACAGAAAGTGTAAGATTAGATATTTTTAAAAAATTTTGGGAGATGAGCTGGATAGCCAAGAAAATCTTTGTTTCATCTTTAGTTGTTAAAAACTGACTAAAAGAAAAACTACTGAAAGGCCAAATACAAGGCAAAGTATTACGAAAGTCTATTATTTAAAATTAGATGACAACAAAATGAGAGTATGTTTGAAGACGTTTTTAGGAACACTGGGTATTAAAGAGTGGACAGTTAGGTACTGGCTAGGAGAAAAACCTAATAGAGATACAACAACAAAACGTAATTATAATGCATGGCCTTGCCATTCTTTGAAAGAATTAGTGAAAATATTTTTAAGAGCTATGCCTAAATTGCCTTCTCATTACTGCAGAAAATAAAATAAAAAATTGTATTTAGAACCATTAATACAGTCTAAACGTGAGCTCTATCGTATCTATGTTAAAAATGCTACAAAAAATGGACAAAGAGTGGCTTCTAGAAAATTTTTTGAATCTATTTTGAAAGATGAAAACATAGCTATGTTTCAACCAAAGAAAGATGCATGTGATCTATGTTGTTCATATAAAACAGGAAATATTACAGAGCAAGAGTATCTACAACATGTATCACGGAAAGATTTAGCTAGACAGGAAAAAAGCTTTTGACATAATAGCTACGAAAAATGGAACAATTCATGTTATCACTGCTGATTTACAAGCAGTGAAATTATGTAAATACTTGAAAGCCAGTGCATTGTATTTTAAAACAAAACTGATGGTTCATAATTTTACAATATACAATCTTGGCACTAATAAAGTAAAGTGTTATTGGTTTGATGAAACAACAACTGATTTAAAGGCATCAACTTACGTGTCATTTTTTGTTGATTATTTAAATAAATTAATTGATGAATCCCCCAAAAGATGTCATAATTTTTACTGATGGATGTTCACCACAAAATAGAAATGCCATTGTTTCGAACGCACTTCTGCAATTAACAATGCAAAAAAAAAATAGTCATCACACTAAATTTTTTAGAAAAGGATCATACTCAAATGGAGGTAGATTCAGTTCATTTCGGTAATAGAAAGAAAATTAAAACACCGTGAAATATTTTTACCTAGTCAATACTCTTTAGTTACCAAAGAAGCTAGACGCAATCCATCTCCATATAAGGTAGCAATGGTAGACCATACATTTTTTAAAGATTATAGTATTAAAAGCTATCTCATTTATGATACAATCCGTCCTGGAAGAGGTATTGGAGCAAAATGTGTGGTTGATATCAGAGTACCAAAATACAATCCCAATGGTACAATAGATTTCAAACTAAGTTGCGATGAACAATTTAAACAAATACCACAAAGACCAAAAAAAGTTCAAACAGTGATTCCACCACAATTCTTTACTGAACGATTGCCAATCTCAAAATCAAAATATGAACATCTACAACAGTTAAAAAGTGTTATACCCAAGGATTGCCATGAGTTATATGACAACTTACCTTACAAAAATGATTTTCTTTTATTCTATTAAACTATAACTACGATGACAGTTGTTATTTTTTGAGTAGTTAAAACAGTTTTTATACTTTTTTGATGTTTTTTTTAATTTTAATGTTAATGAGTAACATTTTTGTTAATTTATAATCATAAAGATTTATTTATGAAGTTATTAAGATATACTTTTGTTAGATAGCTGAAGATGTTCTTTTATTGTTACGAGTTTATTTCGTGACATTATTCCTAAAACCTGCTCTATTGTTTTTAATAAGGTAATTGAAAAGACTGTACAGGCTGAGTTAATGGTAAGATTGAAGCAAACTGTTATTGAAATGTTGTTGTACTATTAATATTTATATTTTGAGAATATATATATATATATATATATATATATATATATATATATATATATATATATATATATATATATATATATATATATATTTTAAATTAAGCTTGTCAGATATAAGGCTTTAAACAGATATTACACTTTATATTATCGTTTGATGACCATATATTAATAATTAGTAATATTACTAGTTTGATTTCGATACCGCATGACAT